ATGGGGGAGCAATTAGTTTAATTTAACTAAAATGTAATGTCCCCCCTGTTTGTTTTGAAATGCAGTTAGGTACAAATTTCAACTTAATTTGCAACCTTCCTTTATGCCTATGGTATATGCCAATTTGAACAGCGTTGGCCAAGTTTATCTTACAGTTTATCTTCCAATATAACTGAAATTTGAAACTAAATAACAAAATCAATGAAGTTGAATACTAGCATTACATTACACCATCCTGCCCTGACCTCCCAAGGCTTAACTCCATCTCCACTACATATATGTAGTCTAAATTTCATGAAATATAAAAAGAAAAAGAAAATAGGGAGGCGAGCAATAATAGCATTACCTCCTCCTACTTTTGTGTAAGGGCGAGTCTTTGGTCTTCTAACATGTTGGGTCTCAAAACCGCCATAGTCTCGTACTGTCGCAATCCAGGCAGGCACTGGGGCTCCTCTTTATCTTCTAAGGCAGCTAAGCTTGGCCTGTCCCCAGTCTGTGAAGGCGAAGGAGAAGGCGGGTCATCGTCCGATCCTAACCCGCCGCCTTGGAAGAAACCAAAACTCTGGGCTTTGGCGGTTAAAGTTGCATTGCCGAGTCCTTTGGGGAGAGGTCTGAGGCTGCGTGGCAAGGACACATGAAGGGATTGGAGAAATGATGGGGACAAAGTGGGGATTTTGTAAAGGAAGAGATCGGAACTGCCATGTCCGCCGTTGAAGCCAAGAGTGAGTGAATTGAGGGAAGAGATAAAGGTTTAATACCCAATTTGGTCCCTAAACTTTTATTTCGAAACTTAGTTCATCCTTTAACTTCAGAAGGGACCCAAACCATCCTCAAACTTTATTTTTTTAGAACCCAAATGGTCCTTCTGTCACAGAAGTGCCTAGTTGGCATGTTAACTTGCCAAGAATTAATACTTTTATTTCAAAAAAATTACGTGGAAAAAAAATAATGATTTAAATATAAGATCACCCAGAAATGTATTTAGCTTCAGTTCAAAAAGAAAAAAAAGCTCACCCAGAAATGTGACTTGGCGGCATGGGATAGATTAGGAGAACTCCTAATTCTTCTAACCCTGGTGATCTTCACGGTGGTGCTGCGGCGGATGTCTTCCCTTTCACGGCCGGAATCACTTTCTCTATCCACGGAAGACGGAAACACGTAACTACCCCTAACAACACCTCTTTCACCCTTCAAGGCTCTTTTCCTCCAGAACCCAAGAATCCCTCTGTCTCTCCGCTGCCCTTTCTTGCTAACAACCAGCGCTCCATAAGGAACCACCGCCTCCGGGCTGGAGTTACCGGTGGAACGAAAAGAACCGTAGCAATCGCCTCCCATTCTGAACGAATTAGATTGAAACCTCGACGACCGGCCAATGAACGGGCCTTCCAAGAGATCGGTGGCGGGCGAGGAGTGTTTGCCCATTCTGAGAGACTGAAACCTAGACGAACGACCGATGTACGGACCTTCCAAGACGGTGGTAGGCGAGGAATATGGTTTTGATTCCACCAGCAACCTCGGAGGCAGTTCAAGGCATTTCTAGGCAGAATCCTCCCGAATCGAGAACGTGGAAAGCGCGGTGCATGGCTTGGGCTTCCCCGGTTCCTCTTCCCAGCGAAATGGGACGGAGGCGGAAGGTGGGGTGGACGCCCCTGCTCTCTCCGGCGTCTGCATTCGCACAAGGGTATGCGAAACTGAAAACAGGGGAAGCCTCAGTTCTGAAATTGAAATTGAAATTACAAAATCATCATTTTTTTTCCACGTAATTTTTCTAAAATAAAAGTATTAATTCGTGGCAAGTTAACGGGCCAGCTGGGCACTTCTGTGACGGAAGGACCATTTGGGTTCTGAAAAAATAAAGTTTAAGGATGGTTTGGGTCCCTTCTGAAGTTAAAGGATGAACTAAGTTTCGAAATGAAAGTTTAGGGACCAAATTGGGTATTAAACCAGAGATAAACGAAGAGGAAGCAGATAAGGAAGGCTACAGCTTAATTCTAAAAGAGTTTTTGGGCTTGTTAGCCTATGTAGGAGGATTTGGGCCTATTGGGCAATGCCAGATTTTTTATTATTATTTTTTTGGTTGCGGGAGAGTGGACTGCGGAGTGTAAAAATAATGAACCAATTTCGCAACCCATTACTAGGCCTGGCAGACCCCCTTTTTCATTTTTTCCTCAATTCCCCATGAATAGCAGATGCAATGAAGAAGATCAATGCAGTCCCTCTTTTTATGTAATCCCTCTCAAGCACTTCAAGTTTTGGTAGCTCGAGCACCTCTGACTTTGAAATCTCAGGTAGCTTGGGCAATTCTAGTTTTGGCAACTCAGGTAACTTGGGGAGTTCAGGCTTTAGTAGCTCAGGCACTTGAGGTTTTGGTATCTCTGGCAGTTTAGGGACTTCGGGCTTTAGCACCTCTGATACTTCAGGTTTTGGCAAAGTTGGAATTACAGGCAATGGTAGCAATTCAACCTTAAGCAATATATCAATCTTTAGTACAATTGTCTCCAAAAGACTATGAGCCCCCAATCAAGAAATTGTTTCTGTTCATTGAAAATAAAGTGGCCAGCAAAAGTGATAAAACAAAGAATTGAAGACAATGATAAGCCATGGTTAATCACAAGTCTATGCCAAATGAAAGGATCAGTCTGTAGTTTGCTTATGCATTGTTGGTCCATCTCATGAGCCTTCTCATAGATGTGAGATGCGGAGATAGAAGACTCAAGAAGAGTTGCTGGAACTTCCCGAACCTAGTTAGCTCAACTTCCCAAGATCCCAGCTACTGATTTGCTTTCCAAATACCTTATTTATTTCCTCTAGGAAGGGAGCAGAGAAGAGCTTTTCTGAATAGGTTTAAACATCAGATTTCCTTTCACAAGTCTAAAGGAAATCAGAATTTCTTTGACTAATCTGTAGATCAATATCGTTCTTGCTTGTCGTTGAACTAAATTATGACTTCATCAATTGGGCATAAATTGATCCAAAAGAGATAAAAAAATCGACCCATCTTGCCACAATTCTTTCTAGTTAGTGCTCGTATCACTCAATAAAGTTTCATTGTACACCCTAATGCAATGTAGAAATTCATGATATTAATCTTAAAAATAGGCTTTTCTTCAACTTGAGTGCATTTCCAAGAGGGGATTAACTTCGATCGCGAGTAAGAAAATGACAAAAACTAGTAGATGTGACTTTGCGAGCAGAATATGTTTCCTATATACTTTACATTTATCCACTGTTGATGACATTTTTAACATTTTTTTTTTAACATGGAAAGTTTGTATAAATATGATTAAATCAAATGCAAAATGCAATGATCCAAAACTGATGATAACATATATTTAGTCTGTACCTTTTCACAAACATATAATTAAAATCACATTACTGAAGTAACTAAAATACTTATGTAAATGAAGCTCAAAACATCAATGTGATGCTCCTGAATCCAACATTAAGATAAAAATTTAATTGTGACTGGTATATAATGTCCAAACAAAAACACCATATGTACTCTAACTGTATATTCTTTCACACATGAATACATGACAATACAAAGCCACCTCAAAAGAATCACTCAAACATTATTTGAAGGTGAAACCTCGGCTGATTTGTTCAATGGAAAATTCATGTTACTGATCACACACACTCCAAGCATATATACATTTAAGAATTCATGGGTCATGTAATAATGAAAGTACAAAGTAATGCTTTTATTCAACACCACTCTGGTTCTTTAGCATTAACTTAACAACCAAAACTCATCACTGAGCTACATGTCTTGCATTTGGTTTCCAGCATCTACAGAAGTAGTTTCACAACAGATTCAGCTTTTAGGTATCTTCAGACTCTTCATCTTCAAATGCTAGATGTATATCATGGAAAGAAAGGAAAAAAAAAAAATGAAACCAAAATCAATAGCTTCTATATAAATATCAATCAAGGGAATGCATCATCCTCTTTATTGATGTGAAATTAACTTTGTATAAAAAAGATAACAAGCAATCAACTACCTAATTAGAATAGATGGTATTTCAATTAGTTTGGATTGAGAACATACCCCTCACAACATCGATGGCAAAACCCCACATGTCAGAAAGCTGTACCTGACTCCAATTGGATCGAAGGCCAAACGCAAGGGATGTCGGCAATGAGATGCCAATAGTCTCCTTTCTCCTCCAAGCACCGTTTTTCCAAAAGGGGACAGCCAAGGAGATGGAACACTTGAAGTGAGGTGGGTAGGCCTTCCTCAGGCAAGGATCGAAGCTTTGGGCACAAAAAAAAACCTAACTTCTCGAGAGAATGGAGGTTTTGAAGGAGGACTTTTGGTATGGATTTCAAATTACTCATCCTTATTATAGTAAGATTTTTTAGAGACTTCGGAAGCTGCAAATTATCTGGAGGACATATATCCCCAATTTTGAATGATTCAAGTGAGGTAAGTTTGTCAAGGCCCCACTCTAACATCGACTGCCTCAAGCCTTCACCTCTGATTTCAAGTGTTTTTAGGTTTAAAGGAAAACCTCCTTCTGGTATGGATGCGATACCTGGACAATCAATTATAATTAAACATCGGATGGATGTGAGGTTGCACATCTCATTGGGTAAAGACTTGAGATTTTTCAAATTCTGAATCTTCAAAGTTTTAAGATTGGGGACGGACGACCAGTCCATTTCTGGCAAGGACTCGAAACCTTCACAAGAATTTAACTCTAATTCAACAAGACCACTGAGGTTGTGCATGAAATCAATAGGTAAGCTTCTGAGATTTTCCACATCCTCAATCCACATCTCTTTAAGTTGTGTACAATCCTGCAACAACCTGTCTGGAAGTGACTCTAATTGCTTGCACTTCCTAATTTCCAGCCTCTTAAGAGCACTTGGTAACTTGGAAATAGGAAAACACTTCAGAGATGGGAGATTATAAATCTGAAAATGTTCAAGATTCACTCCCTCTGGTAAGGACTCTAAATTTTCACAATTTTGGATTCTCAGCCTTTTTAGAGTGCTGGGTAACTTGTCTCTGGGAAAAGATTTGAGCTGCTCACATCCTTTAATGACTAATTCTTCAAGTTGCAGCATATTGTTGCCTTCATCCCCTATTTTCATCAATCCATCAAGCAATGACTCCAAAACCACCAAATCATCAAGCTCAAGCTTTTTGAGATGCAATGGCAAGCTAGTTACTGGAACGCGCACAAATTTTTTGCACTTTTGTATGGACAATTCCTTAAGGCAAGTGAGAGCATGCAGTCCATTAGGCAGGCAATCAAGTAAAGGGCACTCCTGAATCCTCAGACACTTAAGACTGGCAAGGCTGGCTTCGTCCTCCCACAAGCAAGTAAGTTCATCACATTCTTTTATGTCTACTGTTTCAACAGCTCTCAAGAACTGTGTTATGCTTTTAGGCAAGCATGCAAGCTTTGGAATTTTCTCAATCTTCAAAGAGGTGAGGCAAGTGACATCCATCATGTTCCTAAGAACTGCCTCATTGCAACTTGTTATTTCCAACTCTCCAAGTGATGGGAGACTCAGTAGTGAATAACTTAATTGAGGACAATTTCTAATCACCAGAATTTTGAGAAAAGGAAGGTGACTAGGTAATTTTTCGATCAACTTGGGACAGTCCTTCAGTGTCAGCTTCTCTAGTGATGAAAAACTACCGGAAAAGGAGTTATCTCCAGTAAACTCAGGCATGCCTCCTATGATCAATTCTTTTAGCAATGGTAATTGCCCAAGGGGTGGTAATAAAGTGATGTTTTGACAACCACGTAGTTCCAGGTACTCCAATTTGCAGAAAAATGGATCACCTATCCAAGATGGAAATTCCAGTCCACCAAAGAACTCGATTGTAAACCTCTTCAAATTGCAATGAGGTCTCAACTCATAAAGTACCTTATTTTCATTGCTTACATTTCGTGAAGTTTGGAAATCATCAGTCCATTGCAAGATTAACTCATCAAGGCCCTCAATCTCATGAAGGTTGGCTTCACTAACATCTCGAAAATCTGAGACTTTATGTAGATTTGAGATGAGTAGATCGCCTTGAAGTTGCTTCAAGTGTTTCAACTCTCCTAGTCTCAGCCCACCTCCAATAACAAATTTGGACAGTGTCAAAAGATTTGTCAGCCTGCCAATTCCTGACGGTAACACCTTTAATCTCGTTGTATGAGCAATATCAAGATGAAGCAAGTCAACTAAATTCACGATACCCTCTGGCAACTGAGTAAGATTCGTACAACATCTTAATATCAATGTTTGTAAGTATACAAGAAAACTCACAGAATCAGGTAAACTTTGGATTTCAGTCCAAGATAAATTAATATAGCACAAAAGCTTCAAATCTCCAATTGAATCTGGAATCTTCTTTATCTGATAACCATTGAAAGACAAGACCCTTAAGCATCTCAAGTTTGAAAACAAATAATGCATCACTTTATTTGATAAGAAGTTCCATCCATATCTCCTAGCTGGCAGACAAGACAGAAATGTCCGCAAACTCTTCATTTTCTCCATCATTTCAAATCTTTGATAAGTATCAAACGTACCAGGAAAGAATGAAAGATGGCGAGTGACTTCTAGTTTCTTGTTGACTGACATATCTAGTTGGCAGTAAGTTTCTGAAGCAACAGCTCGGGCTAACTCCATCATAAGGTCATGCATGACAAAGAGTGATGAATTGCTACGTGATCGCTGGAAAAATGATCTCAATAACAAATCACGGAAGTATTGATGACCCAGGCTTTTCATTTCCTTCATTCCATCTATCTGTTGATGTTGTCGAAGAAACCCTTGCGCCATCCACAATAGCACCAAATCATCCTCATCAAGCTCAAAATCATTCGGAAATATAGCACAAAAGGCGAAGCATTGTTTTAAATGAGAAGGAAGATGATGATAGCTCAATCTCAAAGCTGGAAGAACTCCACCTATCTCTTCTGATACTTTCCATATCTCACTGTTTAATACTTCCCTCCATTTGTTAGGATTTAACCGATCTTCACGAAGGAGTCCTCCAATGGTTGTTATAGCCAAAGGCAAACCTTTGCATTTTTTCACTATTTCTTCACCGATTCCTTTGAGATGCCCATATGAATCAAAATTTTCTGTTTCTAGTGCATGTCTGGCCAACAATGACAAACACTCATTATCTGGAAACAAATCAAGATGATAAACCCAATCATCTCCTCTCATGCTTTTCGCAACTTTCTGGTCGCGTGTCGTAACAATTATTTTGCTTCCGAGTGCTCCTAACATGAAAAGCCCTTGTAATCTGTTCCAAAGGTGATAGTTGTTGTTCCAAGCACCATCAAGTATAAGTAAAAACTTCTGTCCAGACAACATTTCTTTCAGCTTGCTGTGAATCACTACAGGATCTTTTGAATCAGATTTCACGCCCATTTGATCCAAAATAGATATTGCTATTCGAAGATCATCAAATTCATCAGAGACACAAACCCATGCTTTTGGCCTAAACACACCTTTCAATTTCTCATCATTATAAACAAGACTAGCGAGTGTAGTCTTCCCTAATCCTCCCATTCCAACGATGGGAATCACAGAAAAGCATTTGGTACTATCTTCATTAATTAACAACTTTTGAAGAATAGCATCCTTATCCTCTTCCCGGCCAAAAAAATGACTTTCAGGCATCCCAGTAGTGAGAATCCTTTGCGTAACTGCTCTGTTGGTCCCATCTTCACTTTTCAGGTTCAATGCATCTCTCTGTTCCTTGATGTTTTTCAATCTATCAGTAATGCCCTTTATCTTGGACATAGTCTCGCGATCAACCTTGAAATCACAGGGAATACAACTACAACCAGTGAAACATGATGGTGTTGGGATAAGTTTTCTGGCTCTACTGGTGCTGGCTTGATCACAAGTTTTTAAATTCAATTTTTGCCTCCGTGCATCAGCTTCAACTCCGCGCAGGACATCCTCCATATCATAAGCTATGTCTCTAAGCTCTGAAAGCCATGTCTTTACAGCATTATTGGTTAATTGCTTCCTCTCTGCATCTTCAAGAACATCACGTATGTTTGGCAAAAGTTTTTTCCAATTCTCTAATGCATCACGTGCCTCCTTTCTTGATTCAAACCAATCAGTGGCCTCGGACTCCAACTTATTGATTAACCATTCAAAGGTAGAAGCTACAAGAGCAGCCCCTACTTCCATTGTGTGGAAAACTCTGTAGAAATGAACAAGAATAAACAATGAGAGGGGTCACTTAAGTACGTATTGAAATTGTATGAAAAAGTTCAACAAAATATATACAAACCGATTATTATTAGGAGAAAATTAAATATGAAACACAATTCGAATATAAAAATCTTGTGAAATAAAATTAAAATTTCATATTTTGTGGAGAATTGTAAGAAGATTTGTAAAACATAGATTAATTGAAAGCACAAATATAAATTTAAAATTAGAGCATTTACCATGTTTAACTCATTTGAGTTCCTTCTTGCAGCATATCATTATATCATTATAATTTATATTATTTTATTTAATTCACTAATAAAATTTTATAAAAGACTCTTTTTCAATGCATAGAACTAAGAGAAGCTCCTCCAAAATTACACCAACAAAATTAAAAATATCAATCTTTAGTTACCCAAAAAATAATAATAAAATAAGGAAAAAAAAGGAAGAAGAGGAAAGTCCCACTTTGAAAAGTGGGGACAGAAGCTCTCAAAATGGTGTAGGACTCTCACTTAGAAGGAAGACCTTTTTTTGGTTTTTTGGTTTCCTGTCCGGTATTCGGGACTTCGCCCTAACTAATCCGGATCGACTCACGTCGTGCACCTGAAGATGGTGGGTGAGTCTCTTAACAAAGGCTACTGCGTACACAAAATCTCAAACTCAAAATCTTGTTTAAGTTAAAACAAGCCGTTTACTACTTAATCCAACCCGTCGTTGGTAGGCTTTGACAGTGGATACTTTTAGCTCCCTTTTTATTCTTTTTTTTTTTCCCTCTTATTTTATTTAATTTCTTTCCATAAAAACCTGGAATCTCGGGTTTCAAGAGTATCAGGTTCTGTCCATTTTTATGTTGAAGAGGTGGAC